ATACTGTAGTTAGTAACGAACTGCAAAGTCTTGCGTGGAGAAAATAAAGAAAAATCAGATTCAAGAAGAATTTTTGTGTCAGTTTTTTTTTGTAACAATGCCTAACATTGTAACTGAATGCAGGCTTAGGTCGTCCGAGTTTCCTCCATGGTTCGATCGTGGATTGATTCGTCTCTTGGCTGAGAAACTTAAAACGCGATTAAAATACTTGAAGTATCAAAACCCACGCGACAAATTGGAATATGAAATTCTTAGGGGCCGCTGTCATAAGCAGATGAAATGTTCTTATAATAAATACATAACACAAATAGAAGGCAACATAAAGAAGAATTCTAAATTTTTATGGAAATATGTTGGCGATAAGGGCAGCGGGGAGTTGTCGCTCCCTGGAATAATGCACCATAACAGTCCATGTGAGGATACCGGTCCAGGTATAGCCAACTTATTCGCAAACCATTTTTCTTCTGTCTACAGCAAAACATTTCTATACCCTCGACGAATCTTTTTTCAGATTCGGTACTGAGAACTCTATCCAGTATTCGTTTTCGTGAGAAGGAAGTGTATGAAAAAATAAATCAATTAGATGTTTTGAAGGTCCAGATGCTATACCACCCGTATTCATCAAACTTTGTGGCTCTGCTCTTGCGTTGCCCCTACCCCTATCCATAATATACAACCGTTGGTTGGATGAAGGGGTGTACCCTGACGAATGGAAAGAAGCTAGAATTGTGCCATTATACAAAAAAGGAGAACAAAACAATGTTAAAAATTATCGTCCAATATCTATTCTTTCTTGTTTCTCTAAACTGTTTGAGTCTCTGATCTGTCCGGTCTTTACACAGTTTATGAGTCCCGTCATCTCCCATGCTCAACATGGTTTTAGAGTCGGTCGCTCTGTGCACACAAATTTGGTCGTGTTTGTGTCCAGCCTGTCTGCTGACCTTGATGAAGGCAGGCAGGTTGATGCAGTATACACACATTTTTCTAGCGCATTTGACAGACTAAACCATGTACTGCTAGTGAGCAAACTACAAGAATACGGAGTTCATGGCAACTTATTAACGTGGTTTCAAACATATCTTTCCAGGACAGCGTAAGTAAAGGAATATGATTCAAGACTGTACAGCAGTACTATTGTGAATCTGATGTGCCACAGGGATCACATCTTGGACCGGTATTGTTTTCTGTGTTTAGAAATAATATCACAAATCACATTAAACATTCGAAATATTCTCTATTCGCAGACGACCTTAAAATATATCAAACTGTTACTTTTTCGACACACGGAACACGAAGTTCCTCTTTGTAGCACTAATGTATGTACATATGATTATTTTTGATTGACTCATTAATGATTGGGTAATTTTGTAATTTTATTTTATATGATGTCCTGGTTCTTTGGAACACATAATTGGTGGGAGAAAGTATGGAAGTTTTTTTATAGTTTAGTTAGAAATTATGGAATACCTCAAAATCTAGAGACCCTACATAGACATTTGCTGATTGAGAGAAGTGGTCCACTAATATTGTATGAGTTTAGTAAGTTGGTTATGGGTAAAAAGGCGTAATATTTATTTCTGTATTACTTTTAGTAAACCAGCTGTCACAATAATATTCCAAATTTGAAAGTTTCTCTATTTGAATGTGTCTGTCAATCACGTTGAAACTGTTGAACTGATTTTGATGAAATTTAGGATAGGTAGATACATGCCGGGTATAAGTATGGTACTTAGGTGATAGGATACTTTTTAAACCTGATTAAATGCTCCTATGAGATAAAACAGGAATCATATTCTACGAGGACAAAGTCGCGGGCAACGGCTAGTGATAAATAAAACAACCACAAACTAACAACAATACCATTTATTTGGTTATACAGATCTTTACATATAGCAACAATAATAGGATAGTTTTACTAATCTTGTCTCACATTATAAGTGATCAAAAAGTGAACAGTATATTGCCTCTAAATGCTAAACTTTTCGAAACACTAATTTTATAATATCTAATACATACATACGTCTATATATCCATATTATATTCCAACTTAAATCAACAAAAATTCAATAAATGGAAGACAATTTGGAAGACTTTGAAAGTATAACCAATACTTAGTATTTTGACATTGAAAATATATTTCCCTTATTTTATAATTACTTACAAACTACGCAAAATGGAAGCACTTAGATTTTTTTTATTATAGTGACATCTATGGGACGAGAAAAGAAACTACAACGCTAGCGCACTGCCATCTGTTATCGGAAAGAAGAAAGAGCAAGATTGTCACTTGACGGAATTTTTAAAAACTAAGCGTATAGCTCATCTAATTAGCAATAACCGCACTACATATTTACACGTATTAATTTATTAATTTGACTGATAGTGCCGTTTCAATTTAGAACTAAATACATATATCTTTCTCACAATCTGCTATTGATCGCTAGAATGCTAAGACGAAACAAATGCCAGAATACTATCCGCTATCTTATATTAAGACATCACACATCACTCATCCGCACACTCATACAAACGGAGATTATTGTTCTCCCTCACAAAATTATTCTACTTTTTCTATTGTCATCGTCACATCGTATTTTTTCGTATATGTACATTCTTATCTTATAATTATACAACTCAACAATTACACTGAAGAAACAAGTAGTAATAAAATAAGTGAAAATCAATAAGCATCACAGAAAACCGAGTTTAATAATATTTATTTTGTTTCTGAAAACCTATTTGTAATAATCAGATAAGTATCAGTTTTTGTCTACCAGTGTCGATGACGTAGGTATTTTTTTCAGAAACGAAACAAATGTTACGCTTTAGAAAAGAAAGGTCCTTAAATACATACTCAAGAATAAAGTAAGAAGAACTTTTGAAACAACATAATAATTAATCTAAACTTACGTCTAAACATCGAGACACTCTACAACACTGATGAAAAGAAAATTTATAATTTATTGCGTTGTTACACATGAAATAATCCATCTTAACATTATTTAAGCAGCGCCATCTCTTGGTAGAAACATAAACTATTGATTTAGCTATTCAGCATTAGATGGCGCTACCAATATTTTTAGTAAATATTTATTATTTTAATTTAAATGTCTCCGAGACGTGCCTTTGGCTGTAAAGAAAAATATTTTATTATTTTCAACAAGCACCGAAAAGCTGTAGACTACAATGCGCTTTACAACATATAAAATTTAACAATACTCTTTTAATTGGCAAAACGGGAGATATGTCTTGTATATAACGTGATTTTGACATCAATAAATATATATTTATACTTAACATACATGTTTATACAGAGTGAATGATATAAAATAACATTTTTGATATTATCCTAATCAAACGTATCATTCACTTCGTACGCTACGCGTTTTAAATTATCTAAATAGATAAATAGATTGCAAAATATAATTTCCTAGCTCTCGACATAAAACAGTTTCATACTTTAATGTATAGCTATCGATCTTTGATTGCTGTCTTTTTGGACGATCTTACATTAAAATGGCGGGCTTTATACCGACACATGAAGCAGATGTTTTATAAATACTTTCAAGCCAATGATCGATGTCTATTTATTAACATTAACTTTCTTATTAAGTACATAAATAGAGATTATTCGTTTCAAACTATAATAACTAGAGATCGCTCATTCACCACGCACCGTGCATTCCTCATACACACTCACTGACATAAACATAGTCTACTATGTAATAATAATTATATTATTTTCAACAACAATACCAATAAACAGTCAACTGAAGTAACTACACATACATTTGGCCAACACGACATATTGAGCTTAACACCATTTTAATTTTAATTTATATCTCCTATATGTACTTTATAATCTAACAATATTTTAATCGAAAATTTATTTTCATTGTCAACATATTAACGTCAAAATATTATATATTATATAGATATTGTATATGGGAAGAGAACCAACAATATTCGATAAATATATTTTCAATAATTTATAACGCAGAGACGGTTTGAGACTCTCTTAAATAACATTCTAATTTAGAGTTAAGATTTGGAAACAGTGGACCGCTAGAAAGGAGGAGGTGAAGAGATATCATGTGAACTCTTAATTACATCGATGTAATGTTAAAAACATCAAGGAAATGTTGCTATTTGTTCTCAATTATTCTAATTATTATTAAATCGAACAATGTTAATACACATCAATTTGAGGACTGGTCAGAGAAAAAGCAGGTTATAGCTATTTTACATTAAAATTAAATAAATGTCGTTGTTGATTTTACTAAATATATTCTACAACGACATACGAAAACATGTCGAGTTACTAAACAAATAATAGTTCCGAATCAAATCCTAAACGTTTCTAAAATTATCTAAGAATTTAAAATTTACTTATTCGAACGAACAAGACACACTCGGCTAATATAAAAATTCATTCAAAAACCAATCAATTCCGTTGTCTAGTAAAACGTTCAAATCGACAATAAAATATTCAATTTTAGTAAAATTACATGAAACTTAGTTAGAGCTACTCCTCAATAGATGGCGATAGTGAAGCGTGTCGAGTTATGAGTGAATATCTGTCCAGTCTCCATTGCACATCTAATACAGCTATGCGTTTTTACAGCAGATAACATCTAGATAAATAAATTACTATATCGTTCGATACATGTACGTAACATATAATTATTAATTCATAGTTATATTCGGAATCGGCGGGGAGACATTTTCTCAAACAAATCACACTACCGTGTGATATATGGGATTAATGTCTAGACAAAGAGAATAATAGACAAGTCACATGTATACTCCAACAACGGCGGTTGACCACTTTCCACTTTAAACCTTTGTTTATAAGACTCAAAACCGGTTAACCCCTAGCTACCAATATTTTCATTCAGTTTCGAATATATCTCTTTGAAAAACAACATTCAGAATACTAACATGCGACACAAAAATGTAAGTCTCCACCGTAAGACCAAAATATGTTTAGATTTAAAGCTTTAGTCGACAATGATATCTTGTCCGAGGCGATCCATTTCTGAAAGCATAAAATCGACGTCCTTCTCAGTGACAGCTGCTGAGGAGATGATGCTGCGGTAGAAGTTGGGACGGCGGTCGTCAGGCTGGTAGCCAACCATCAATGTACCGGATTGCATCATTTTGCCCTTGAGCTTGGCGCACACCTAGAAACAGTTGACGGTGTCAGATACTAGATGGCGTTATGTGTTTAAATGCTGTTGAACATTAAGTTTGATTGAATGTATTATAGATATTTTTATTACCCATTTTGAAACAAAAATTGTAATAAAAACACAACATCGCGTTTTATTTCCTGAAAGGTAAGGTTTGGTAAGAATGAAATCGTCTCTAAAAACAATTGTAAAATGAATTGATAACTCCTTTACTTTGTCAGGTTTGGGAATTGAATCCGACATTCTTTGCTCAGCAATCACTGTGGTTACTGGCTTCCTTAACGCTTGTAGCCGTTGAATGTACTACTCCTCCTATTCTCGAAACTTTCGACAAAAATGCCAAAAAGTCCTTACTACAGTCATAAAAATTTATGCCAAGATCATCATACCTTGCCCAGCTTAATCTCCTTGTTAGCATCATGTGGCAGGCCACGCAGTTGTTTGGGCAGGTACCAGAAGGACACGTTCACCATCTCCGGCTCCAGGATGAGGTGGAACTTGTCAGGCTGCTCCTTGATGCGGCGCACCTGGTACTCCGCCAGCTCCATCAGACGGTCCATGTGGCGCTCGAAGCCTGATGTACCCTGGGGGGGAGTTGATGGTTTTGTGGAGGTTAGGTGGAATAATAAAGATACTTAAGTCTATACAAGGTGTTGTTTTAAAGCCGCGTCATTTTCTAGGAGGTAACTCGGCTATCGATTCTGAGTCCGAATCAATAAAAAAATTGTACTTAAATATTTTTCATTTTACTGTAAATTACGGAAATCCATAAGTGCGAACTACACGCCGCCGTCTTGTAACTAGTTTTGTAACGCGGCTTAACACACACAAACTCAAACACGTAATTGATATTATTCTTAATTCCATAAAACTCCAATAAGAATTATTGCCGTCGCTTATTCTGAAATACTGTCGAACTTAAGCGATTTACTATAGCCGTATTTTTAACTATTGGCCCGAAACTTTCTTTTACATTGAACCTGCATGACTTTTGTGACATGCCCCCGAGAAATGACACGGTTTCAAAACTACACTTTGTATAAGGACAGGACATTCTAATGGAACTATAATACCCATACTTAAGTAATAATGAATAGTTCGTGTACGTACATTAAAAAATCAAGCATGCCTCTAAGGATAACGATAACTTGAATTTTCGGCCACAAAACTCCAAAGATGTAATAAATTAGTTACAGTTTTTTTATACCCCCCTCTTTATTATGATCTAACAATGAAAACGTGATTATTTTAATCCAAAAAGGCACAATACTATGTTAGAAAGGAATAATGTTTTAAAGTTAATCATAATTTTGAAATGAAATGAAATGAAATAAGTTTATTCGGCATAAGACATGCACGCCAGAAAAGACATATAAATATAAAAAAAGTATAAAAACAGAAAAATTAAAAGATAAAAGTTAAATTATAAGACTAAAACTAAAACAAGACAATAATTCAGGTGCGCGGTGATGGCGGACATGTCCAATCCGAACGGGTCACCAACTCAGCATAAAGCTGGGCACAATGAGCACAATTTCCAACTGTACTTGGGACATGAGCAAACGGAACCACTAACGTTTGCTCTTTTTCATTTCTTCATTAATATTTTATTTATTGGTAACGTATGCCATATAAAAGGCAAGAGGGTAGTTTGCCTGAATTTTATTTTAATGTCCGTCTGGTAGATTAATTTATTTTTTAATTTATTAGACACGTATTTTTTCTGTTCTCACAAAATTAAATACTTTCGACGATATATTAATCTGAAATATCGTGTGACGTCACAGCGTGCTACATTTAGTAGCACTCAGTGATGTAACGACCGGACTCCTAAACTTAACTCCATTGTATCTAAGTATTGTAACTTTATACGGGAAAATAAAAAAAATGCGTGTCTAATATTTTTTCATTATCTAACTGACGGACTAATTAGATTTTTTTATTTTCTTTCCCTGGCAACTACCCTATTGAGTTACCTTTAAAATGAGAGCATATTATTGTAAAAGGATTTTCTTAAGTTATAGTGGGTTCAAAAAAACATACGATTTTATGCTCCCAAGATTAGATTAACTGTGGCTTCTAACAAACCTATTAATTAATTGGCATAACCAATGAAGACTTAGCATAACAATATTCACAATATTCTCAGCTTACCTTTCCACGCCACTGCAGCCACAGCTTGAAGATATCATTGTGTCGTCCACACTGGATGACCTTGTCGCCGGTGTCGTATTTGGGGTCGTAGATCTTGTCGGTCATGAACAGGTACTCAGCTGACATCGCGTTGCAGTTCAACAGGATGCCCTGGAAGAGATGGAGCATTTATTAGATAGGAGAAAGAAAAAGGACTGCCTCGTTGACCGAGTAGTCGTAAGTGCGACTACCGGGCAAGGGATCTCGGGTTCGATTCCCGGGTCGGGCAAAGTATTACTAGGTTTAAAAAAATCTCAATAGTAGCACGGAGTCTGGAATTGTGCCCGCTATATGGCAATAGGCTCACCCCCTATTACATGGGACCCATAACATAAATAGTGAAAAGTGTATGTTACATTGTACAGTGGCATAATGTGCACCTCTGCCTATAAAAGGCGTGATGTTATGTTATGTTATGTAGAAAGAAAAAGCTTTTTTAAAGCAAATGACGGATCACTTGACGGTAAGCACTGGACACTTGCAACACTACATGAAATTACAAATGCGTTGCCTGCCTTTGGGGGAGAATTGGGTCACTGGTAACGTCACTCATATAACGGAACACAAGTGTTTTTTTACTGAAAATTGCTGTCAATTATTACATAAGAGAAAATTCCAACTTTTAAAGAGATAGATAAAAATCTTAAACGGACAATCCAAGACGTTAAATTTTGACTCAAAAGGATGACGGGCAAACACGTATGTCGGTAGAAAGCTCTTTTCATTACTACCTCTATAATTTGTTATTACAGGGGTAGTCTCATTTCATTGTGGGGAAAATGATAAACCTAGATTTTTATTTATTTATTTATTTGAATATGTACATATATAACACCACAGCTTACGCTCTTAATGATCTATTAAACAAAGGATAATGCTAACCGAATGTATGGAGTCTAGAATCTAGATGGAACCTACCCAGCAATAGCAACATGTGATATACCATTGGATAAGGCTTCTTAAATGTATTGATTTTGACAAATGAAACGTTTAATCCTCTAATAAAATATATAGATACTAACAAAGCTGAACAGTTTAATTTGTTTGGTTTGATTGGAATAATTTTACTGTTGTATCGGATAATTAATCCAATGATCGAGGAAGGCTATAAAAGGAAACGTTACGATCAATAACAGCCGAGCAGCGGGCGGAACCGCGGGGGAATAGCAAGTTTGTAATAAAGCATAATCTGAATTCTGCTAATAACCACAACTATAATATACATAAATTAAAACACAAACAAACAGATTAAAACTCCAAAATCAGTGTTTGTGCAGCCACGTTGAGTACACAGACTACACAATATTATGTAGATCCAGTATCTGTCGCGCCCAGCTGTTTGTCGACTATTTATATGCTAAACATGACACACCCCTGCCCATCCCCTACTCGAGTGAGTGCAAGATAGATAGGTGTAAGTTAAAGTAGGTGGTGCGAATGATAGACACGTAATTACTTACTTATTAGTTAAGAATCCAATTAAAAAAATGTTGATAAGATATATTTTTTTCATTGGTAGCTTTGTGTAAACCTATTTTTCTATAATTGATGTTTTACAGTAAAAATCTTAAACTGAAGATAGTTTTGTTGCTTAGGTTGTTTAGAATTAATTAGTTTGACTAAATTGAACTTTTTGATTCACTAAATACGCGGAAAGATTTATATATCCGCCTTGTTTTACATTTGATTAATGAAATAATGATCTAAGCAGTTCGTGCTTATTATCTCCAATGTTAAACAATAGCTTTGCAACTAAATGTATTGCATTTTAATAGAAATGGCAAACAGTATTGCTTCTGGTTATGGTGTGTGCGGCCACACACCATAACTAACCAGAAGCAATACTTATAATAAAATAGTTTTTTTTTTGTATGGTATAAGCCGGTAATCGAGCAGACGGATCACTTGATGGTAAGCAATCGGCGTCGCCCATGGACACTTGGAACACCAGAGTGCGTTACTGGCGGATGGGGAGATTGGGTAAGGGGGTATTTGGGCCTCCAGTAACCTCACTCACACGATGAAAAACAACGCAAGCGTTGCTTTACGTCGGTTTTCTGCTCGGCCGTTATCATTCTGGTCGAGCCGGCCCATTCATGCCGAAGGATGGCTCTCCCACACTTAAATGTTCGCTGCACCATTTTACTAACGATAGGTACTTAAATATTATACGGAGCGGCTCTGGCTCGAAGTGCAGGAGTAGGAACGGGGTGGTTTTTAGTCAGTAAGAGTCTGACACTCCCTCTCGCCACACCCAGGCGGGAGAAGCAATTGGATGATTTTCCCCCCTCAAAAAAAGGTACCTGAATATTTATACAAAAAGTAAAAACGCCAACAATCCGAGGGTGACTTCTCTTCAATAAACAAAAATAAACAATAAATTGCAGAAAACTCAATAACTGAGTGCTCAGTGACTTGGCAGGCGATTATAGACCTTATTGTTTAGTGAATTGTGGCTATTTAGCTTGTAAGTTATGGAGCATGTCAGCACAATATGCTTCATGATAAATTCCTGTAGACCCCGCCCACACTGCGTGTCGTGAATTTAGGGAAGTGGTGGTGTCGATATCGATAAACTGTTTAACAAGTTGTTTTATAATGAAAACAGCTTTTTGCATGCTTCAAGCATTGCAGGCCGTTAAATTCGGGAAAAAAAACTTAACAAATTCCTTTTCACTCACTTTCTCTAGTTATTAAAAAACCGAATCAAAATAGTTTACCTTTTTGAAAGATTTAAGCATGCAGTCAGTCTATACAGTGTAGTGATAGCTACAAGAAAATTTGGGTGTAAATAAGATACCATGGTATTGTTTAAGGATTAAACCTAATTAGTACATTAAACGTATTCTCTAAATGGACAGACTGATCCATTGTATTATTGGGTATTCCAATAAGATTGAGTAATTTTTGAAAATCCATTATTTAATTTTATTAACATCTTATTCTTAAGAGTACAGATTTCGCTTCGGAAAAATATTCATTGTATCTAGTTCATTATTAAATTTATTTATTGTACACTTATTTTTAAACTTTCAAGCAATGTCTTTTTAACGTCAAAGTAAAACTCATTTATATCGATAAAAAATAAAAGAATATTATCGATATAACTAGCCCTGCCACATCCCTAAGTATGGCACGCGGTACATTTAATTAAATTCCTCTTTGCGACACTTGCAAACATGTGTTGCCAATTTGGATCTACCCTTACAACAGCCACAGAGGAAAAACAACCCTCTTGCATATAAAATAAGGCACGAAATTGAATAAGTAAAATTTATTCGTGGAGAGGATTATTCGTTTCTTGGATTATGTACTTTCGGCTTAAGGAAATAAAGTTGAAATTGTTTTGAACGAGCATTTATAAAGGAATTCACTTATTTGTTCTCTTAACAATATTAATTTAGTATTATTTGTGAGGAATTTAAATCCAGAATCGGAATCTTAAACGGGTGAAGGGTTCGGGATGAAATTTGAAGCAGAAGTAGATTATGATGTGGAATAACACTTTTTTTATGGAACAGAAGGCAAACGAGCAGACGGATCACCTGATGGTAAGCGATCAGCGCCGCCCATGGACACCCGCAACACCAGAAGAGTCGCAACACCAGGGCGTTGCCGGCCTTTTAAAAAGGAATACGCTCTTTTCTTGAAGTTTTGAAGGTTGTATCGGTTCGGAAATATCACCGACGACAGCTTAGGCTGCATTTTAACCCCCATAGAGAACACGGGCGATGCCGCCAGCATAAACTTGTGTAAAATACTTCTCCACTTCTCTTACCAAGCGAACCAGAGGGAAGTGATCCCTCTGATTCTCTTCCAGGACCAAATTATTATACTAGCTATGTAGCTGAGCCCAAGGCTGAGACTATTTGAAGTCCCCACCAGTCTCACTAACATAGGTCGATATGCTCCCGTGGCTAGAGCTATTAAAATAATTAACAGCGTTGGACAAAAGGTTGATATTTTCTGTTGCTCATTTGCGGAGTTGATACAGGTAACGACTGACTGCTCTCGCGTCACTATATAGGTGGCGCGGGGAGTTGACTGCCCGGGGCGAGAGATATCCGCCACGAGTTCTTGAGGCACGACGCTTAGAACTACGTCGTGAAACAATGGCAGAGTGGAAGATGCGACTTGCGCAACCTAGCGCAGGGCACGCCGTAGTAGCGGCGGTAAGCCCAGTTATGGAGGCGTGGATCAGCAGAAGGCATGGTGCCCCAAGCTTCCGGTTGACACAGGTCCTTTCCGGACACGGCTGCTTCGGAAAGTACTTGTGTCGTATAGGCCGGGAGCAGACGTCGGCGTGTCATCACTGTAATGACAATTTGGAGGATACGGCGCGGCATACGCTCGAAGAGTGCTCTACATGGGCAGAGCTGCGTCGTGAACTCATTACAGTGCTCGGAGGGAATGATCTCTCATTGCCGACCGTAGTGCGAGCTATGGTTGACAGTGAGAGTGCATGGGATGGAGTCGCTTCCTTCTGTGAACGTGTCATGTTGGCACAGGAGGCGGCTGAAAGGGAAAGGGAGGCGTCCAGCTCTCTCCCTTCCCGCCATAGACGCGCCGGCCGTCAACGCCGTGAGGCGATAGCTGATCTGCGACCTCCATAGGCGAGACCTGCGGGCGACTGATTAGGGAAGTCAGTCGTCCGCTGTATGGGCGGAAGTAGGCGTTAGCGGTGTGTTCACGCGCGCCACTCGAGGAAGGAAATTGCAGCTTTTGAGGGCTGCTACGTGGTGGGACCTGCCACAATTTAGTGGTAGGTCGAGGCCTGCCGGGTGCGGTGAATCCGCAAGGGCGTCCCGGGTCACGGCCACAGGCAGAGGAGGAACACCGCGGTGGTTTTAGCCGGTAAGAGTCCGGCACACCCCCCCGTCGTCCTCACGGCGTGGGAAGTCCATGAGGATTTCCATCGCGTTATAAAAAAAAAAGGTAACGACTGATGTTGTTAGTTGTATACTCATGTAGTTGATGGACAAGTGCAATTAACCCGTCGAGCGTCCGCGTTCCTTATGATCCAACGGGTGGACACGTGACATTTGGAGAAAGAAAGAAAGAAAACGCATTTATTTGGCCATTAGCACACGAAAACAATAGAAATAAAAAATACAGTCAAAATAAAAACACAACATTAATAATAGATTTTATAAAAGAGTTTTTTATGATCCACCGGGTGCTCATAAGGACGCTCAAGGGGTTAATATGTATGCCTGTGTTATAACACTGTTAATTATAAGTTTTTATATTAAGTGACAACATTATTGCATTGGGTGTAAACTGTTAGGATGTGTTGATTTAAATAAATAAATAAAGTAATGTATCAACCAATTTACCATTGTTCCCTTCCCTTAGGATAAAATATAGTCTAGTTATGTTACTAACCTCATACTTGAAGTGCACGGTGGAGCACTGCAGCAGTGTGCCCATCAACTTGTGCGGGTTCCATGTCACGGAGTCAGCCCTGTAACAATTCACACACGTCAGAAACTAAAATATAGAATAATCCATGACAAATGTGCATCAAGTATTTGTTTAAAGTGTCATTATCATCAACAGCCTATAAATACCCACTGCTGAGCAAAGCCTCTTCTCACACGGTAGGTTTAAGCATCATAATCACCATCACCCATTGCTTGCTCAATGCGGGTTGGCGATTTCAAACTTATAATTAGAAATTATAAGCCCAGGTTTCCTTACAATGTTTTCCTTCACCGTTTGTCAGTGGTGTCTAGATAATCTTAGAAAGTACATATAACTCGGAAAAAGTCACATTGGCACTTGCCGTTGGTAGGTTTCGAGCCCGCGCACTCATGCATCAGGAGCGGGCGTAAACCTCGGGGCCACCACATTCGAATGTTTAAAATGTAATCTAGATTTTTATATATATTTACAGCAACAAACTATCCTTACTAATATTATGAATCGGAAAGTGAGTTTGTTTGTTTGTTCCACTTTCACGCCGTAACTACTAAACCGATTGCTTTGAATTTTTGCAGACGTAAAGTTAGAAGTCCGGATTAAATAATAGGGTACTTTTTAACCCGGAAAAATTTGATATTCCCGAAGAAAAACAAAAGTATTGGTATAGATGGCGTTGTGTGTATTGGTATATGTCACATAGGCTACTTTTTATCCTTTTGTGACGCGAGCGAAGCCGCGGGTAAAAGCTAGTACCCGAATAAACAAGTACTGTCGTATGGGCCTCTACAATACAGGAGACGCGGTATTTCAAATCAATGTGTCGTCGAAAGTTTAATTTTGTAAGTAAAGAAAAAATCCGTGTCTAATGTTTTGAAATAATCTACCAGACGAACATTACAAAAAAATTTAGTCTACTACCCTATCGTCACAAAATATTCTCATGGCACCAACCAGATCAAAATCACAATTAAATTTTCAAACTATTAAACATCGGCGCCCACTAATCTACCCTCAGCCGCAATCCTACAATAAATATGTAAATAAATGTTAATTCAATGTAAAATTCAATTTGTTGTTGATTTTTGACAAACCCAAGGTCATTTGTCAATTCACCGGCTGGGGGTCGACCCTGGCAATTTGCATAATGCTATAATCAATTGTGAATCAACTTTACCCCTTCTATTTGCTCGTGGGGTAACACCGAATTAGTTTTAGAGTAAGCAAGGGTAACGTGTGATGGGCTAGAAAAATGTCGTAGATTGCAGATTTAGAGATTATTTTTGATAAGGGTTTGAGTAAACTGTGGTATAATAAAAAGCGCGCGTTATTATTTTTACTGAAGGGGTTATTTGGGAATATTTTGGGTATTATTTCAGCTTTTCTTAATAGTTAATATTGTCGATAAAAGTTAGAATTAACCGAATATTTAGGTCCATTTTGATATCGAAGTATTGAAAACTTATTATTAATTACAATTTTTAACCGATTCAAGATGTGTTCAACAGATTGAGCTGAAATTTTATGTACATGCACGTTTATTTTGCATGACCGTAAAACATGTTTTTTAAAAAGACTTATTATTCAAAAAATAATTTTGGTATGTATAAGTTACTGAAATTAAATCGACAACCATATTTTTAAAGGTATCAGCGACACTGCTTATAAAATACTGACTACACCACCATTTACTACCAACTTAACATATTTTTTTAAACCATTTTCCCTTAATTCATTCTACAAACCTTCCCCACTAATCACTTTAAACCCAAAAGAGCTCAGTAAATGCAAAATAGATCGCATTGACACCGTAGTGAGCGAGCTAAGTACAAAGTTAAACAGTGAGTGTATCGTGCGGGCACAGTGGCGCACTCTGCCGGCGCTTTAGATAATCCTCTGTTGTCACAGCTTTGAGGGTCGCACGGGATTGCTGTTACACCGCAGTGTAACAATAAACTCAATTTGTAGTTTTAAAGGAAATAAAACAAATTCGATTTGATATTTTGTTACTTATGCTTTTAAGTTAACCACGGAGCCGACGTTTTTAAACAGTACACTACTGGCATATCACCGATAGTTGACGATCGTTGATATATGTAGTATAGGACAATGGCAGGTAATCCATAGAATAGAATAGAATATTACTTATTTCCATGCTTCCTCTATAAAAGATAGGTTTGCCATAATCTCCACACGTCTTGTGGAGATTGAAGTTTAAAATGACCCTGGTCACCAGAGAGCGCCGCTGCCTTATCTGTGTCAGAATTACGTAGACTCACAATCGCCTTTTACAAGACCCACCGTATTCTACTTTGAGTATTTCAAATAACACTTCGGTGTGATAGACAGTACATTTTAAACTCTCCGCCATGATAAACGAGCGCCCCACAAGTGCAGACGTATGTCCGGACTACGGACCGACAGCTTTTTGTTTTTTATTAGTCACAGCTCCACTGCAGTGTAGGGGAGTTTTAATTAATCTCTAAAGAGGTCGCATCGCTCAGTAAGAGGGTAAGTATGGAGGGTAAGATGGGAACGTAAAATTGAAATTTTTTGTTCTTTTTTTGGTTATGTTTTGCAACTAATTGGTGTTTTAGGTGATGTGCGTGGATTGGGATTATTTTTCGCATTTTTTATTCTAACTTAACATATTTATCTACTGAATTTTACCTTTTAAATGCTAGTAATATGTATTATCTTAAACACAGAATTGTCTACTTTTTCCAACTCGGGAATCGAACCCAAGGCTGCTTGCTCGATCGGCAACTATTCTCAAAAAGTCGCGCCCTTATGTTATTTTGTATCATATCAAAACATCTTTGACAATTAAATAATAATTTTCTCTCTATAATAAAATCCAAAAACAGCACCTCTCACTCCACACCCGGGTACAGGATTAACGCGATCAGCTGTAACGATTTACCCGAGATCGGGAGTAACCCGCGAGATTGACATGTGAACCGGCGGCCTGCTACGAACGCTACGAGCGCTACGAGTGCTACGACCGTAGCCGCTACGAGCTATGCGTAATCCCTGACGGGCAATGTAGGGTTGGCAATCTTTGGGTCATTCTTTGAAGATATTGTTTATTTATATCTTCTACTAGCGACCCACCCGGCTTCGCACGGGTGCAATATGCATGTATTATACACGTAAACCTTTCTTAAGAATCACTCTATCTATTAAAAAAAATACGCATCAAAATCCATTGCGTAATTTTAAAGATCTAAGCATACATAGGGACAGACAGACGGCGGATAGCGACTTTGTTTTATACTATGCAGGTAGTGATTATTATTATCTAGTTTTACTCCATATTCTAATTATCTTAATTATTGTCAGAGCGTTTACAAACGTCACATCACATTCTTTCAAAAACATTTGGTTTTGGCAATAAGGTACGTTTCTATAAGCTTGAATAAAATGCATTTGGGTTTAGTTAAGTTATTCAATAGAGAAAGAACTTTAATTAAGATAAACCTGGTTTCTATTCAACGTATTTGATTGTGTTTTACATGATTTAAGTTAAATTAAATTCAGTCACACATGACATTCTTTCACTTCAATCTAATATACGTCAAATAATTCCTTCTCAAAAAAAAACAGTAGCCTACATCTTTTCTCCAATAATTACACAATTACAAAATCATGTAAACATTTTCTTGGTTCAATAAAATTTATTTTACTATTTATTATTTAATTCCACTACACATTTTCCTCCGCGCACCAACCCTACAACATCTGTCACACGGTCCAACGCGCGCGTCTGCTGCATTTAGCTAGATTTCCCCCCTCACCCCCTCCCCCTCGCTACCCCCCGCCCGGCTTAGTACAAGTATACATCGGCATTTAGCGCGGGGCACTCATGATTGATAGACGTTAATGGCAGCTCGGATTAATAGAAGGATAATGAGCTAGTTTTGCCGATTGTACTTTGAGTTGCATTTTGTATCGAGTGGTGTGGTGCAATTAGATACAGCGCCTATAGGCTTTGAGAATAGAGTTGTAATGGGGTAGTTTTTAAAGATTATTAGTAAATTTTTGATAAGAGAAGTGTTTTTGAAGATTTTTAGATAAAATGCATGTTTAATTTATTTTCGAAAGATTTTTAAAAGAAGTAGAGTCATAGAAAAAAGTTTCGTGAGCAATGTCGGAATATTGAAACGTTACTCAATTTTAAACTGTCAAATACCAAGCGGTCACCGGTGACCGCGACCTATTGTTCTTTAATTGTGTCTATAAAACCGGTACTCGACGAGTTAAGTCGTGCTCAAATATCGTGCCATCTCTGTCATTTTACAAAGAATTTGTAGAGATAGAACTATATTTAAGCACGACTTAAAATTGAGTAGCGTTTCAGTATTCCGACATAAGCCGAAAACATAATAATTAATTATTTTTCACAAAAGTTATAATATAAGTACAGCTTGACAAAAAAGAGTGTCGTACTTGCGGTAACCTGGTACACTATGACTCAGTCGGTTTTGATATTCATTATTTTTATCGAGTTTTAAAAGAGGAGTTCGGAACTGTTCGGATGATTTTTTAGTCAAAGTCAAAGCGTTTATTTCAATTAAAACTTAATAAATTATTATGTTTTCGGCTTACTCACGCAATTATTTGAAACTAGTCGAGTTCCTCGTCAAATAATTACGCGAGAATTTATTTAGTATGTCTCACGAAAGTTATAATAACTACAAATAAAAATTAATTAATTAAGCACTTTTGAAACGTCAAACATTGAACTGTACGTCCGTCTGTCTGTCTGTCAGTGAAGCTAGGCACTCGTGCGCTCGTACTACTCACAGGATATGGTCCGGAGTGAGTGATACAGTCCAAATCAATATTAGTTCCAGCTGTCACCGCGTCAAACTCTGTTTTGCCAAGCTGTAAGTAACTACATCATATAGCTAGTCTTACCTCTCGATGCCAGTGAGGCGGGGGTGGCGGTACTTCTTGGAGAACAGCAGGCCACCACCCCACGCAGCCTGCAACAACATGCCATTATTGTAAACTTAGTATTGATATGTGCTAACACTAAAATATTACCAATTATACCTCCCTACCCAATCTCCCCAATCCCCGAATCTTCAATAATCCGCAAATTCCTAATACCCAAAAGGCCGGTAGAGCACTTGTTACACCTCTGGTGTTTCGCGCGGCGGTGATTGCTTACCATCAGGTGATCCGTCAGCTCATCAGACAACCGGTAAACGCGGCTTATTTCATAAAAAAAATACCAAAAAATTATATTTTCAAGAAAAGCAGTTCAGCTTTTTCAGGAAAAGGTCTCCCGTCGCTGAGAGGCCGAAGCTGGACCACACACAGGCAACAATTTTTAACCACACGGTTCAAACCTTGAGTGGAAAGCCAGTGTGCGAACTAATTATTATAATATGTGAAAGTAGCTAACTTTGTATAAAATTTACTTGAAATTATGAAGAACTGAAATATACTTTTTTTGTAAGGTGGGAAAATCATCGAATGACTTCTCCCACCTGGGTGAGGTGGGAGGGAGTGTCAGACTCTTACTGACTAAAAACCACCCCGTTCCTACTCCTGCACTTCGAGCCGGAGCCCCGGTAACCCGTTAGGTTCTCCGCGACACTGAAAAGTAGGTACTAAAGCTACCTTTTTATAGCGGATACAGCTATTGGTAAAAATCTATCTATATATTGTATATACTTACATCAACATGCATCCACATGTCATACTTCTGGCAGATGTCTGCGATATCCTCGAGCGGGTCGAAGGCACCCAGCACTGTGGTGCCTGACGTCGCGTTTACGAAGAAGGGAACCTAATGTGGAAGAGAATAGAGACAATTTTTAGATGACAACATGGTATCAATATGTTTTGTCCGAAAGTATCGGTGCTATTACAGTAAGTAGTGTATATTTTAACAGTTTTGTGAATCAGTAAAAAGTTCACAGTAATATAATTGTTTCGATCTTAATAACAAGTTTGAAGACTCCGAAAGTTCCGAAAATTCTTGATCCGAAATCTGCTAGGTTATTCTGTATAATGTCAATTGGAACTCTCGATATAAGCTCGATCGCGGGCCGCCATGTCATTGATTGTGAGAATAATCTCGACACACGACGCGAGAGAATTCCATTCAGCTAATTAGACAAAAGCATTTAAAAAAAAAAAACATTTGCCCTACCCTAATGTTTTGTCACGTGTCGGGTGTGCGTTTACAAACATACAAGTTCACATACACATGACACCCAGACACGGAACAACAATCTGTGGATCACATAAGGAGTTGTTTCGAGCGGGGAATCGAACTAGCGACACGTTGCGCAGCAGCCAGTTGTCCAGCCACTGAGCCAAGCGTGCAGTCAATTAGACATGGAATATGACTAATCTATAATAATTCGTGTTTCGCTATCAAAAGCTACAGTTATTCAATAACTACGTACTTACTAAATTATATTTTGTCCAGTCTAGGAATCGAATCTAAGATCTTTTGAATAGTAGTTGTGCTTACGACTCATTAATTTTGTATACGAATATAACTATTTGTGTTCCTAACATAACATAACATCACGCCTTTTATCCCCGAAGGGGTAGGCAGAGGTGCACATAGAAGTAACACCCACTTTTCACTATTTATGTTATGAGTCCCATGTAATAGGGGGTGAGCCTATTGCCATATACCGGGCACATTTCCAGACTCCGTGCTACTACTGAGATTTTTAAAAAACCCAGTAATACTTTGCCCGACCCGGGAATCGAACCCGAGACCCCTTGCCCGGCAGTCGCGCTTGCGACAACTCGGCCAACGAGGCAGTATTTGTGTTCCTTTTACATTAAAATGTTAGAAATATTTAATGTTCATGATACTCACATTGCCTCTATCCTTGTGGTACTTGACAAGTCTCTCCAGTTCGGTGGGTATCATGCGCCCGCGCTCGTCGGACGGCACACAGATGCAGTAGTCTGTGCCCAGACCGCACACTGACGCACACGACTTCACTGAGTAGTGGCACTATTAAAAAAAAACAATTTTATATCATGAAACATGGTACTATGGCGACGTCACAAAAATCCTACATCGCACATACAAAGTTTACATGCAAATTAACACGGATAGAAAATCCCAACGAACAACTGTTGGGCAGAAAGCCCGCCAGGCACGATCACCTCGCCTAGTCGGAGGATCCTCCTTTTCCGATCTTAGGGAACTATACACACTGTTCCCTAAAGTACTTTTACATGTCACTTCGAATCATATCAAGTTACTTTGAGATGGCAATTCATTTACGACTTTATAGGTACACGTTACGGTTGAAAATCTCTTTGATTATGGGGTGCACAGCCGTCAGAATAGATAGATTCGACTTACTATACTAGACTTTCTTTTTTAAACTGTCAAACACCAAGCGGTCACCGGTGACCGCGACCGCGTTCTTTAATTGTGTCTATAAAACCGGTACTCGACGAGTTAAATTCCTCTATATAATGAACTATAGTTATCTCAGTTTATTTAACTTATACACGAATACTGAAAGGTTACAATTTGAAGTAGTACTTAAATATCGTGCCGTCTCTGTCATTTTACAAAGAATTCGTTGAGACAGAACTATACTTAAGTGCTATTTAAAATTTGAGTGTATTAGGACATTAGGTGTATAATTCTGTATGGACTTCAAAACAGATTGTGGGCTCTGAGTTTGTTTCGGTTTGTTCGGTTTGGTGAGCAAAGCCCTTCTCACACGGAGAAGGTTTGAGCATTAATTGTCACGCTTGCTCAATGCAGGTTGGCGATTTCAAACTTATAATAAGAAATTATACGTCCAGTTTTCCTCACGATGTTTTCCTTCACCGTTTGTCAGTGGTGTCTGAATAATCTTAGAAAGTAATCGTAGATCTTGTTTCGGTGTTGCTGCTCAGAAAAAATAACAACCGATCCTCTATGGGCATTAATTAAACATTGACATGTGAAAGTGCTTCTTTGTCGTCTATTTAGAGAAACAAATATAATTTAATTTCAAGTGTAAAATATAAGATACGTGTAACTCAAGGTCTGATTGGTTCTATATCTGGTGGACTAACCTGGTCGGAGGTGAACATGACGAGGTGTCCGGGGATGCTGGAGAGTCCCTTCTCCTTGTACTGAGGGAACTTGTGGTGCCGCGCCGCCAGGAACGCGTACAGATTGGAGATGGAACCACCTGGAGGACGGTGCACAGTGTTGTAGGAAGGTATATGAATTATGTAGACGAGAGTATGAGTACTTCTCGTTGGTCGAGCGGTCGCAAGTGCGACTGCCGGGCGAGTAGTCAAACGGGCCTGGAATTAAGCCCGGTATATAGCAACAGGCTCACCTCCTATTACATGGGACTTATAACATAAATAATGAAAAATGGGTGTTACATTGTACAGTAGTATAATGTGCACCTCTGCTTACCCCTTCGGAGATAAAAGGCGTGATGTTGTGATGATGATTTTGATGATGAGAATGGTAGTTTTATTTAACGAAAGTGTAGAAATTAGATACTACCTCTAAATAAATGTACGCTTATTGAATAAATACGTTACTGCACTTTTGTCCAGTTATTATCGGACGATAGTCTAACAAACTGTCAACTTTTTTTTATAATAATTATCGTGAGACACAACACTAAATGAACTAGAAATCGCGGGTTACTCACGTGAGAATCGGTCGTGGCGATGTTGTGCAGCCTACGTATACAGTAGGCTGCGCGACAACGCCGCGACCGCGCACGCTGCTCATGAGGAAGAACCCCTCTGTGACTCATAACTAGTAGAGCTTTTCTCAGTATATTCACGTGAGTAACTCGTAATTTTAACTTAATTTAGCTTTTTTTTTTAAAGGGACAAACCCGCCACAACCCGCCACAACCTCCCAAAACCGCTGCAACTCCTGTGCACCAGGATCTACAGTAGATACAACCATGAAAACATCGGAACACTGAAGTCCGGCGCGTCCCAGGGACATGAGTAACTGTCTTGGTTCCCGCAACGAAGTGTATCAGAAGATATTATAAGAGGAAAAGAAGAAAAAAACTATAGTTTCCACTTCCCTCGGTGAATTATACTGTTTTGAAATAATTTAGCATGTCTCACGATAGGTATTATAAAACAATGAATTTAAGTATTAATTTCACCACTTACCGGGAGCCAGAATAGAGTCTCCAGTCCTCCAGCCGATCATATTCCTCATCTTTTCCAGCACCACATTCTCCATAAGAATGAAGACGGGCGCGATCTCGTACGTGAACATGTTGGTGTTGGCGGCCGCCGTCAGCCACTCGCCTGCCAGGGAGATGATGTCCAGGCCGCAGGACAGCTGGTTAAAAAAGTGGGGGTGACCTGCAAAGAAGGTGGTGTGTTAGAGCTTGGGAGGTTGGATAATTGTGTGAGTAGAATCAAAGAGTAAACTAAGTTCAATAGGGTAGATGACTATTTTTTATTTAAATGGCCGTCTGGTAGATTATTTAAAAACATTACACACGTATTTTTTATTTTCTTACGGAAATGAATTCTTTCGACGTTAGATTGATTTGTAATATCGCATGACTTCACTTTTGAATACGATTTATACTCAAAAATGACGTAGCTACCACCCACTCCTAAACTTTGGTTCGTTTAATTTAAGCATTGATTTCTTAAACGACAAAATAAAAAATACGTGTCTAATATTTTTTCATTACCTATTAGATTTTTAATCTACATACCCTGTCATCATCCCGATTAAATATAAATTGTTTGCCCTTAATGCACACACACAGTTTAATATAGTCTTTAAAAACAAATCCAATGTCAATCAATTCGTTTTCATTAATCTAAGCATACATAGGGACAGACAGACGGCGGAAAGCGACTTTGTTTTATACTGTGTAGTGATGTGTTAAACGTTAAAAATAAACGTATGCCATGAACTAAATCCTTATCCTTACTATAATATTATAAATCGGAAAGTGTGTTTGTTTGTTTGTTCCGCTTTCACGCCGTAACTACTAAACCGATTGCTTTAAATTTTTACAGACGTATAGTTAGAAGTCCGGATTAAATAATAGGGTACTTTTTATCCCGGAAAAATTTGATATTTCTGAGGGAAAACAAAAGTTTTGGTATAGATGGCGCTGTGTGTATTGGTATATGTCACATAGGCTACTTTTTAACATTTTGTGACGCGAGCAAAGCCGCGGGTAAAAGCTAGTATTCTATAAGGTGATAACATCATACATTATAGAACAAAATAAACAATATTACGGTTAAAATAGACATTTTCGTCATAAAGTGTCAATAACAAAGCGACCCGGTTATCCCGGTCGAATGGCGATGTCATTCGGAACCGGATGTAATCCCACACGCCAATGGGCCGGGCGATAGCTTCCGGTACAACGCCGGCCATGTTTGTATTTGCGGTCAGTCCGTTTAAGTATTGGTGAAATTGTTATTATGATCTCGAGTTTTTGTTTTTCGTGTACCTATTGATGTTGCGAAAACTAAACTGTTCCCCTTGATCTTTTATTTAATAGAAAAGTAAGTCAAGTTGCACGTTTAATATTATAACACCCAATGTGGTATATAACTAATTTTTATTTTAATGTTCATCTGACAGATTTTTTTTTATAGGTACTTGATAGGTTGTCTTGTGGCCACCATCTCGCCTGGTGGTAAGCGATGATATGGCCGACGATGGAGCACACCTACCTATGAGCAACCTAAGGACTTGAAGAAACATAGATTCCGGCAAGGAGTTCCATTCCTTAGCAGTTCGCACACGAAAACTTGACGCGAAACGCTTCGTGCGAATGGATAGAATGTCCACAAAATAAAGTAGGACATATATTTTTATTATTTATAGAAACAGATACTTTCGGCGATATACTGATTTGAAATATCAAATGACGTCACTTCTATGTACATTTTATACGTAGAAATGATGTAGTTGGCCCCCACTCCTAAACTTTGATTCGTTTTAGCTTAATATTGTTTTCTTATACGACAAAAGATTCGAGTCTAATAGTTTTTCATTACCTAACTGACGGACTAAATTAAATAGATTTTTAATTATCATACCCTGTCATCATCCCTATTTTCATGAGTTATCTGATAAGGAATGAGCCTATTGACACCATTGGGATGAGATGAGCATATACCAGACAATATTCTCCGATCACTGCGTGCTAGTATGTATTACTGACGCTCTGACTGACACGAGAATCGAAACCAAAACTCTCGGTATTTGCGTTTGCGGGTTCTCGACTAACAAGACTCTCATGTCGCGCTTAAATATAGTTCTGTCTCTACAAATTCTTTGTAAAATGACAAAGATGGAACGATGTACAATATTTGGTCGTTAGTTATACTCATTTACAATGTCTATAAATTATACCCTACAATGGTAATTCAATACGTCCCCATAAAGAAACAAGATAAAATGTCTATGACAGCCGCCATACGCCACAAAATACAGAGATAAGACCTCTTTGGTCCCCCAACAAACTGTTTATCACAAACTCATTCTTTTTTGTGACGTCACAACCGGGTATACAGATAAAAAATATAAATGAGAGGGAATTGAGAACAGCGCCCTCTAGGGACAAGGGAGTTATGATAAACAGAGTATTTTTATCGCGTAATAGAAATGTTATGACAGGTCCTTGTATAAAAAGAGGTGTTTAAATAATCTATAGGCAGAGTTTGAGATTTTTTTGGTTCTGAAATATGGCAAAAGATATCATGTGGCCACAAGTTTAATTATGGAATAGGAGGCTAACGAGCAGATGGAGCACCTGATGGTAACCGACTAGCGCTGCCCCTGGACACCTGGTCCGAAGTCAAGTGCGTTGCCTTTTAACGCAAACAAAAAGAGTAGTTACATTCTGTAATTGATAGTTTGAAAGTCGTATCGTGACAAGATCCAGACTGCGTCAAACATTTAATCAACTAGTGACAACCGAGTTTTAATTGTGTTTTATATCTATAGTATTGTATTGATTTCGCGCGGGCAGATTAGATCTGTGACTTTATTTCTAAGTAAAACAATTGTTTTGGCAAAATAATATTTCGCATATAATTTTGCATCAAGCTTCCTTATGCGTACTGCTAAGGAGTAGAATTATTTGTCAGAGTCTGTATTTCCTGAAGGGTGTGTCTTCAAGGCCCGAGTGAATAGGTTGCTTACGGGACGACGTGCTCCATCGTAGACTGTTAAGAAATCTGAACGTTTTGTTTCGACCCGAGAAAACTAAGTACCAAAGCTAATCAAACGTACCTGTCAACCAATGAACCAATCATAAACACTCAACCAATATACTTATAAAATAATTTCCCTAACAAAAAAGATTGCATGAAGTATGAATAGATAGAGAGCGCCTCCCCTCAGGTCCCGAGGGACTGTTTATCACGCCGCCGCAGCTGGGGCCTCAACAGCCGTCAGCAGGGCAAGCACACACTGCTGTCCACCGGGATTAGGGAGCTTCAATTGTTTTTACACTGATTTCGTGTGAACGCGTGTATGTTTGAAGTGTTTTATTGGGCTATTCATACTTTGAGTCGACTTCAAAATAAAAATAAAGGAGGTTTGACTTGTATGTATGTGCGTGATTATCAAGCTACTGACTGAACCGATTTTGATGCGGTTTTCGGAAAAATGTTTGTTACACTTAGGAAAAGGTTTTAGTTTATTAATTAACTGACTTATAAAAGAAGGGGGATTGAAGTCTGGGTTTTTAAATGTTGTTTATAAAAGAATTGTAGGTGGTATTTTTAAGTGTTCAATGTATTGTTGGGTGTTTATATTTCTTTGTTTAATTTATGACAGTTTAGGTACCTAGTAAAAGGAAAAAGAAAGGTAGATACTACCGAATGTCATCTTTATGGTCCTTGCAAAATAAAACAAGCCGTGTGATGATGATAATATAGCGTAGATTTATCACCACCCTGACTCTCCCCGCGGGTATCGTATACCCGACTAAGGGACTACACATTTGACAGAGATCGGGCAGCAGCGCTCTCTGATACACCTGAACCTTTTACATTGCGATCGAACCAATAAAACTATGTACCTAACTAGAGAATTGTATTGTGAACCTGATAGGAAAAGAGTATGGAGTTTCTTGCTCGTTGTTCTCCATAGGAATCTACACTTTGGAATGAGCAAATAGCTACACTTTTAAATTTCTATTGCTGACGTTCAAAAGTGCCTTCCTGGTCTAATTTAAACAAATGATTTTGACTTCGACTTTCGATTTTTCGATCAAAGTCGAAGCCTTGACAATCTTCTATATCGATAGAAGATTGTCAAGGTATAGACTATCAATTACGGCTGTTCGATATTCAATCACTCGATGAGGTAAAAAACGATACACATTGTTTTTTTTATGCCATAAGACGGTAAACGAACAGACGGATCACCCGATGGTAAGCAATCGGCGTAGCCCGTGGAGACCCGAAACACCAGAGGCGTTACAAGTGCGTTACCGGCCTTTTGGGAATTGGGAATTTGAGGATTGTGGAGGATACGGCAGACTAGGGAGAGGGGTAACTGGGCCTCCGGTAACCTCTCTCACACGACGAAACACAACGCAAGAGTTGTTTCACGTCGGTTTTCTGCTTGGCCGTGGTATCACTCCGGTCGAGCCGGCCCATTCGTGCCGAAGCTTGGCTCTCCCACACTTAACTATGTATTAAATACTAATATGTATTATGTATTAAATACTAATATGTATTATGTATTAAATACTAATATGTATTAAAAACTCGTTCGTCATCAAACGAGCGAGTGCTCTCGTGACATAGAAGGGGTCAATGTCATCAAATGTCAAGGGCAGAGCGCCTGGTATTTATACATATGATAGGTAATTATAATAATTTATATATCAGTCTAAGTATTCTATTCTATTTAAAAATGTATTTAGTTTAGTTTATTCTTTTTATATTATTGTTGATATTGAGGTGTACATTATACCACTGTACAATGTAACACCCACTTTTCACTATTTATGTTATGAGTCCCATGCAATAGGGGGCAGGGGGTGAGCCTATTGCCATATACCGGGCACAATTGCAGACTCCGTGCTGTTACTGAGATTTTTTTTAAAAACCTAGTAATACGTTTCCCGACCCGGGTATCGAACCCGAGTCTTCTTGCCCAGCAGTCGCACTTGCGACCACTCTTTTTAGCTGTTTTCGTAATTTGATCTTGAGAAAGGTCATTTGGCTACTTTTAGTACACACACACACTCACATCAACCTATGTATAACCAGTATAAACTGACCGTCGATTTTGTATTGCTTGATGTGTGAGTGTCCAGTGTAAACTGACTGTTGAATGTACTTAAAGATCATACAAGGCGAGG